TGGAACAAGGGGGTTATCTGAAGCTTTTCTGTTTATTTTTTGAGAGAGAAAGTTTCTGGCTCTCCCGGTTGCAGAGAAAAACTGGACAACATGAGCCAAGCGCACCCCAAAGACTCAGAAACCAGAAGGCAAAGAAAAAAAAACATATTTGTTATTTTAGAAAATCTCATGATTTTTAAACCAATCTCATGATTGGGGGGGGGGGCTGACTCATGATTATTGAATGCTTGGGACTGGCAGTACTAGTTTACCCCCACAAAAGGTACAGTGCCCTCTGCCACCCTCCACTCAACCAATGTGCTTCATTTCTGCCCCAGAGGGATCACCTCTAAGGGTAAAAGAGGAGTTTAGACTCCCCACCCACTCAGTTGAGACTGTCAAGGAAGTCAGCAAGAATAAATTGCGGTGATGACAGGAACCGGACTGAGATCCAGCAAATACATTTCACACAAGCAGAGGTGAAAGTAAGCCGGTATGGGCTGATACAGTGTACCGGTAAGAAAGTGGCTGCTAGTACACAGCCAACATTCAAGCACTGCCACAGCAGTGCTTTAAGCACTGTTCCGGCAGAGCCGCTGACGGGGGGGCAAAAAGCAGCAGCTGTCCCAGCGCCCAGCGATTTAAAAGGGCCCGTGGCTCCCAGCAGCGGCCAGAGCCCTGGGCCCTTTAAATCACCACCAGAGCCCTGGGCGGCGTGGGCCACGCAGTGTTGAAGGGCTGGCTGGGAGAGTCTGGCCCTAGCCCCACCCATTCCGCCCAAGGCCCTGCCCCTTCCAGGGGCCCAGAGCCTCTCCCCCAACCTTGCCCAGGACCTCGGCCGCCCTGCGTACTGGTAAGTCCTTTAATTTACTTTCACCCCTGCACACAAGCAACTAACCAGCCATCAGATAGCAACAACTTTCAGCCCCTGCTGACCCATGCTGGACTTGAAGAATCATCCTAGAAGAGAAATGCGTAGTATCCCATTATCAATGCCCTGAACCATCCATTGTACCTGCTAACATATTTTGACTCTCTGCCCCTATTTAATAATAATACTTTGCACTTTTACACCAACTTTCATCCTATGATTGTAAAGCACTTTACAAGCAATTGTTAATTAAGCCTTAGGTCAGTGTTTCTCAAACTGGGTTGCCGCTTGTGTAGGGAAAGCCCCTGGCGGGCCGGGCCGGTTAGTTTACCTGCCCCATCCGCAGGTCCGGCCGATCGCAGCCCCCACTGGCCGCGGTTCGCTGCTCCAGGCCAATGGGAGCTGCTGGAAGCAGCGCAGGCCGAGGGACTTACTGGCCGCCGCCAGGGGCGGCTCTATATTTTTTGCCGCCCCAAGCACGGCAGGCAGGTGGCTTTCGGTGGCATGCCTGCAGGAGGTCCGCCAGTGCCGCGCCATCGGCGTCCCTGCTGCCTAATTGCCGCCGAAGCCAAGGGACCGGCGGACCTCCCGCAGGAATGCCGCCGAAAGCCGCCTGCGTGCCACCCTCACAGCGACCAACAGGCCGCACCCCGCAGCTTGCCACCCCTGGCACGCGCTTGCTGCGCTGGTGCCTGGAGCCACCCCTGGCCGCCGCTTCCAGCAGCTCCCATTGGCCTGCAGTGGCAAACTGCAGCCAGTGGGAGCTGCAATCGGCCGGACCTGCGGACGGGGCAGGTAAATAAATCGGCCCGGCCCGCCAGGGGCTTTCCCTACACAAGCGGCGACTCCAGTTTGAGAAACACTGCCTTAGGTATAGTAGGTAAGGAATACAGAAGCATCTTCTCATCCACCATTAAAATACAGCCATCTCTGGGGTGGAATATAGTAGCTATTTAACAGTTAAGGACAAAAAATTATAGAAGGAGAAAAGTTAATACCTTAAGCAGAATAGAATTCTCTCCAGGGGAATTGGTAAGGACATCAGGACTAAAGCCCTTACAAAAAACACCACTGGTTCGTAAATGAATTGACCACAAGAATTCAAGAGCTCAGTTTTCTCTCTCATCTGAAAAGCGGCACCCCATGATTTGAGGACTTCAATAACTCAGACAGAGGTTAGGGGTCTATTGCAGGAGGGGGTTGGTAAGGTTCTGTGGCCTGCGATGTGCAGGAGGTCAGACTACCTGATCACGATGGTCCCTTCTGGCCTTAAAGTCTATGAGCACAGCACCCCTGAAGAGCTTGCTGAATTAATGATTATGTACTGACCCAGAGGGAAGAAAACCATAAAGAATTGCCAGCTCTACATCCTGCAGCACCCAGATGTTCCTTAGAGATCTCCCTCCCAAGCACAGAGCTGGTCTAACACTCACTGGTTTAGGAGAGCTTGTGGAATCACCGCACAAGGCAGCTTTGCAAGCTGGGAAAAAGCCACTCTGTGTGAAGTAGAACCAGTTTGAGTTGGCTCCAGTCCCTTCTACACCCTTGCCTGCAGTTCCAATTAATCCTTCTGAGTGCATTTGAAAATCTGCTTTCACAAAGTTCCACATTAGAAAGTCTTTTCTGGACATCAGTCAAAGTGCTCTATCCCCATGTCGTGACTACCAGGTGCTCTGAACCAGTACCTCAGTCCCATATTGCTTCTGAATAGGCAATAGCTAGAGCCAGCATCACTCCCCCAAAAAACTTACTCACACCCTCTAGGATCCTGCCTGCACAGAAGAGAAAGTTATCTCCTATTACCTCTACAAAGCCCCTGCCTGCAGGGATACTGGCTGGTTCCTGCAGCCAGTTAATTTTTGGATAGTTAAATGTCCCACTGACAATTATCTTCACAGACCTTCAAATTTCATCTCATAGTTCCAATTAGAGGAGAGCTGCAGGCTTGTAAACCCATCAGTGACATTTGGCCCCCTCATTGCCCTCACAGTCACTCTGATAGATTATACTTGATGAGTATTGATCCTGCTAATAGAGGAATGAGTGCTCCCACGTCTCTTCCATCTTCCCCTAACCCCCTGATTTAACTTCTACCCTATGATCTAACTCATATCCTTCTAAATGAATATATAACAATTGGGTCTTTCTTTTCTGGATCCTAAAGCACTGGGCAATGTGACATGCTATTCAGCAAATAACACAGTATTATATAAGGGAAAGGAATATCACAATGTTCTCACATTGCTTTTCAAGACAGACCATGTAAGTAGGTTGAATTGTGAACCATCCTACAAATGACATCTAAGATGAGGTCTTCACCCCTCCTTGTAATAAAAAAACAACCCACTGTATTTTTTGTAATAAATGCTTGCTTTTTAGTCCAGCTGCCCTAGCCTAATTTCACCTGGGATAATGCTCTTCTTTCCCTCTAAATTGCCTCAGCAGTTTCCACTGGATATGCTTGTTCTTTCCTATCCTAAACTGTTATGCAGTGTTGCTATGAGCTGCTGCTCCTCACCAGAGGTGGCTGCTGTGGTGATGGGTGGAATTCACTGGCACACATAATTCAGGTATCAATGTGTTATGTTTGCAAAATTATTTGTTTTAAAATGTGTTATATTTGCTTGCTGTTTGGATCATTGGGGATTAAGGCACTGTATACGTGGAAGATATTGTAAGTACTTAATATTACTGCTGATTTGCATTGTAAACTGTCTTTTGCAGTAACCAGAGAGATGCACATATGTAACATGCACATGTATATGAATATCACACACACATATATAGCTCATCTTTCCAGTGTGATGAAAAAGACTTACTACATAATCTAGTCTACCTCTCTGCCAAGGCAGGCTTGTTCCCTACAGCACATCATTAATCATCCTCATCATCATACAGTGAAAGACCCAATTGTAAGGCCCACCCTCCATGTAGCTGACGTTGCTGCAAGAGCTCTGTCACTCAGAGTAGCTCAAATCTGGGGAAAGTAACTCAGTAACTGGAACATTATGTTAACTTAGATGGAGGAGTTGGGGCAGACGCATATTTATTCTTTCCCCATCTACTCGGAAGCAGATACTCTATCTCAGGGGTTCTCAGACTTTTGTATTGGTGACCCCTTTCACACAGCAAGCCCCTGAGTGTAACCCCCCCCCCTTATACATTAAAAACACTTTTTTATATATTTAACACCATTATAAATGCTGGAGGAAAAGTGGAGTTTGAGGTGGAGGCTGACAGCTCACCACTCCCCCATGTAATAACCTCACAACCCCTTGAGGGGTCCCGACCCCCAGTTTGAGAACTCCTGCTCTATCTGTTGAGGTCTCAGCCCCTTCTCCCGTCATCCCGTCCCCCTTTTAAGAAATCAGCTCTTTCCTTTCCTCATTCCAAACCACTCATTTCAAAACCAAAGCCTTTACTGCAGCCACCCCCAGTCTGACCCACCATATACTCATCTGAAAGCCCCGAAGGAGGGGAGGCAAGGAAAGAGAGAGAATAAGAAAGGATGTGGTTATATTATCTCAGCTGCCCCTTAAAGCCCCAAACACGTCCCTCCCTCATCCTTCGCCTTGCTCAGATCCCACATCCCTTACCCCGCACTGCAACAGAAGGAGAAGATGGGAGCCTTACTGGACATAGGGAGGGGCAGCTGAGGGGCATTCCGGGTTCCTCTTTACAGACCCTGTCCTGTAGGTGCTGAGTGCCCTCTCCCCCCATGCTTCATTTGTAATGAAAGAGTTGCCCAGGCTCAAGCAATTAGGCACCAGGTTCCAAGCAATTTTTTTTACATTCATAACTGATGTGGCAAGCCCAGAGGTGCCAGGGCTATAAAGTATCAAGTCTAAAGGTGCCTGCCGGGGCTCAGCCCTGGCCCAAATTAAGCACTGACCCATGGACTTCAGCGGCAATTCGGGGTGTTCAATGCCTGGAAGGAGCAGACTCTAGGTGTGAGGCTGGCTTGCCAACCTGGAGCCCTTGGAAAGCAGGATCAGCCCCTTCTCCGCCGACACACCCAGCCTCCCTGCCCGGCTGGCCCCACCCTGCAGGAGAAGGTCAGGCAGCAGCGAGCCGCCCGTGCCCGGGGATCCCACACGCCGCAGCCCCGGCCCCGGCCCCGGCCCTCCCTAGGGGCTGACGAGGCGATTACCATCCTGCCCCGAGCTCTCCAGGTGCTCCGTCAGGTCACAGCCGAAGGCGCCCGCGGCTCCCTTCCTCTTCGGCTTCGGCTTCGCTCCCTTGTTCTTCATGAGTTAGTCCCGCCAGCGGCTCGCCCCGCTCCTGCCGCTGCCCGGCGCGCTGCCCCTCACACCGCCGCCCCTGCCCCGCGCCCGGCGCGGGACATGGGGGATCCCGCCGCAGCGCTCCGCCGGCAGGTCCGGGCCAGAGGGGGCTGCCCGGCAGGCAGGCGGCCGCGGCGCGCACAGCCCGGGCCCGGCGGGCTTCTCATCAGCGGGGGGCGCCGGAGCGGTGCCCGCGGCCGGGCAGGACGATGGCTCAGGGGGGTGGTGGGGAGGGAGGCGGGTGTTGTCCCGGGCCCCGCTCCCCGAGCAAACCCCGCCTGGTTCCTCGGCGCCCCGCTAGCGGGGGACACGGACCGCACCCCGGGCAGAGGCCGAGCGAGCCGCCGGCCCCGCTCTCTTGCCTCCGGGAGCGCAGCGAGGAACCCGCTTCCTGTCCTGGCTCCTCCGGCTGCCTCCTTCCCCCCGCGCCGCCGCTGCGGGGACGCTCCAGCCCAGGAAAGGCTGGAAGGAAGTTGGCCGGGGAGGGGGCGGAGGGCTTTGGCAGCGCCGGGGAGGGGGTGTGCAGGAGTGGGGGGGCGGAGAGAGGGGGGTGTCCTGTCAGATAACGGGCCGGCCTGAGAGCGGGCGCTGCCTGGGCCACCAGCGCTCCGCCTTGGAGAGGCCCGGGGGGAGGAGAGAACAGACATGGCTTCGATCAGTGCCCGGCTCTGGTCACTGATTCCTCTCTCCGGAGCCCTCGGCCCGCCAGGACGCTTCTCTCCCGGAGACGCCAACGCTAGACCTCTGAAGGGGGGATCCCTTCCCCCCCAGAGAGCAGAAACAGATGCTGTCAGGCTCCTACGTTCATGCACTTTGGAGTCAATTGCCAGGAAAGGCTCCTTTTGGGGTTCCCAGTGAAGGGAGTTGGAGGTAAGAAACCGAAATCTCCCCAGTGGCTGGGGAGCAGACAGCTGGGGGCATGGAGTTCAGCTCAGACTGCCACCCAGCCCAGTGTTGGTGGGGCTGCCCGGCACACACACACAGTCTGTCTTGCCAACAGAAGTTGGGCATAGGTGCTGGAGGTGCTGCTGCACCCCCTGGCTTGAAGTGGTTTTCATCATATACAGGGTTTAGAGTTTGGTTCAATGGCTGTCAGCACCCCCACTACACACGTTGTTCCAGCTCCCCTGAAGTTGGGCCAATAAAAAATATGAGTTCACTCACCCACCTTGTCTCTCTCACAAATAATCATGCTAATAAGAACAGCCATAGTAGGTCAGACCAAAGGCTCATATAGCCCAGTATCCTTTCTTCCAACAGTGACCAATGCCAGGTGCCCCAGAGGGAATGAACGGAACAGGTAATCATCAAGTGATCTATCCCCTGTTGCCCCTTCCCAGTTTCTGGCAAACAGAGGCTAGGGACACTATCCCTGCCCATCCTGGCTAATCGCTATTGATGGACTTATCCTCCATGAACTTATCTAGTTCTTTTTTGAACCCTGTTATAGTCTTGGCCTTCACAACATCCTCTGGCAAGGAGTTCCACAGGTTGACTCTGCGTTGTGTGAAGAAATCTGCACTTCTGTTGCACTTTTCTGCCCAGGATCTCCAAACGCTTTACATAGGGGGTAAACTAGAGGGTCAGCATGCTTTGTTGCTTATGTAGGCCCAGCTATACACCCAGCCTGACCCCCTTCCCCCAACTCTGCTCAGTTTGATTAAAACTGGAAAAGACTATTTTCCACTAAAATCGGGCTTTTCTGGTTTCCCCATTTTTACCAAAATCAATAGGGCTCTGAGCTTGGGAGGAGGGGTGGTCATGAGAGGCTCAGCTAGAATGAGACCTGATTGGAGCTGGGGGATCAAGGGGTCCAGCTTGTGGGGGAGGGCTCACCTTCCCTAACCTAGTACTCATCCCGTATTCAAAGTGACTCAGTTGCCCTCCCACAGGCTTCTGTGGGTATGTGTACACTGAAATTAAATACCCGAGGCTGGCCCATGTCAGTGGACTTGGGCTCCCAGGGCTTGGGCTGCAGGGCTATAAAACTGCTGTGTAGATGCAAGGCTTGGGCTGGAGCACGTGCTCTGGGAGCCTGCAAGGGGGGAGGGTCCCAGAGCCCAGGCTCCAACCCAACCCTAAATGTCTACACTGCAATTTTATAGTCCTTTAGCCTGAGCCCTGCAAGCCTGTGTCAGCTCACACACACCAGCCATGGGTGTTTTATTACAGTGTAGAGAGACATACCCTATGAGGCCACTGACTTATCTCTTATCCTGAGTGACCAACTAGTGATTTTAGTGGAAATCAGACTTTTCTGGTCTTCTGATTGTCACCAAAATCAATAGGGTTCTGCCCATTGATGCCTAGACTATTCCCTGAAATATTGGAACTGATCAGCTGTAGCTTTAAAAAGTTATCCTGTTACATATGGTTAGACAGAAAAACACCATCACGTTGAGTGTAGGACCTTACTTTGCTCACCCAATTAATCTCATTCCCATTTTACAGCTAGAGAAACTGAGGCACAAAAAGAGGAAATGGCTGCTCCACAGACAAACAGGAAGTCCGTTTCAGAGCTGAGAATGATACTCAGCTATCTTGACTCCCAGCCCCCTGCTCTCACCACGAGATCACACTGCTTCCAGAGCCAGAATCTAGAACTCCTGTCTTTCCACTTCCTGCTCTCACTACTAGCCTCCTCTCTGTTCCCTTAGTGCTAACCTGGCTTGCAGAACATTTGAACATCCTGAATTTATTCTGGGCTTCTTGCAACACCTTGATGTTGACTCAATACATGAGGATCTGCTCTATAACATAATGCCGCAAACACATCACATGCCACAGCAACATCTTGCTGCAAAAATTCATATGCTGTGACTGATGAGAGGCAAACTTCAAAAGGGTCCAGTGGCTGATTCAGACAAAAAGGCACTAAGATGCAGATGTTTCTCTGTATCTCATTCAAACCAGCTGCTGGCTGACTTCTATAGGAAGAGAAAGCCCATCTGGGTGGCTTCAAAGGAAGCATTTCCTTCCACACACAACAGCTTCTTCTTGAGGTGCTGAGGAGTTCTGACACTATTCCAGAAGGCTGGACTTATGCGCAACATGTTTCATTTGTCTGTATCTTATACCATGTCCAGTGATCCAATTCTGAGAGGTATCACCACCTGCCTTCACTCAAGCCCTTTGCTAGACTCTTATGCCAGAGTTACAGGATGACCAAATCAGGACATCTTCAAAATAAGATTGATGATGATTGTGTAATATCAACCCCCATGGTACAGACATAGTTTAGTCCCTGCTGCCTGCTAATCTGTTGCCCAAAACATGGCTACATTCCCTACACACAGAAGAGAGGGGAGAATGATGGAAAAAAGATTGAGGAGTTCTTGGGCTTCCTTACAGAGGGCCAGATCCTGAAGGTCTGAACTGTTACTGAGTCTTTATTCTGTCCTAATCTCAGTGGACTCTGTAGGGGTTTCGTCTGAGTAAAAACTGACTGAGGTCACCAGAATTTGGGTCAGAGGGAGAAGTTCCTCTGAGCACTCAGATTTTGATACCTTTGCTAGTATTCATTCATTCTTGAATAGTACCTTAATCCACAGCCTAGCCCCAGTGAAGTCAAATGGGGCTAATGGTGGAGTAAGGCAGTGGTTCTCAACCAGGGGTCCAGGGCCCTCTGGGGAGCCACGAGCAGGTTTCAGGGGGGCCTCCAAGCAGGGCCAGGTTAGACTTGATGGGGCCCAGGGAAGAAAGCCAAAGCCCCACTGCATGGGGCTGAAGCCCAGGTCCCTGAACCCTGCCACTCAGGGCTGAAGTCGAAGCCTGAGCAACTTAGCTTCAAGGGGGCCCCGGTGGCATGGGGCTCCAGGCAATTGCCTGCTTGCTACCCCCTAGTGCCAGCCCTGGGTTTTATATGTAGAAAACCAGTTGTTGTGGCACAGGTGGCCTGTGGAGTTTTTATAGCGTGTTGGGGGGGGGGCTTCAGAAAGGAAAGGTTGAGAACCCCTGGAGTAAGGTACTACTCATTGTGAGCAAGGATATTATAGTCTGGCACTCAGTGATTATGGTAACCAGCAGAAACCCACTCCCCAAAAGAAACATTTCTATTTTAAACAAGAAGTGGGAGGAGGGCGAGGGAGGCCTGTAGTGGCCCAGGGAAGGAGCCCAGGTTACTTGCTATTTTTAGTAGTCTATTAAGATACTGCTGATTTCTCTCTTCCCCCTACGCACACAGCAGTCACACTGGCTTCAGTGCATGTTCTGCATTCATTGAGCTTGCAGAATGGAGTCTTCTGTCTGTCATTCTGACTCCCTCTCTCTGTCTTTCTCTTCTCTAATGTACAGTACTTTCCTTCTTTCTATCACGTAAGGGCTTCCTGGAGCTTCTGCCCCTTGGTGCTAAGTAGCCCTGCTGCTCTCTCTCATACTAGAATCCAATACAATGCAACTTCAGTTTGTATAGCATCTTCCAGTCTATCTCAGAATGCTTCACCAAGCTGAACAAAACAATGAAAGAAAGAAGTAGCAGGGAAGAGGAATGAAGACGTATAACATGCAAGGAGGAAAGATCTGTTTTCAGATGAGACTTGGTATGTGGCAGAGCATTGAGCCAAGTAGTGCAGATAACTGATTTTTCAATGTGCTGACCAAAAAAAACCATGAAATTAAAAAAAATCATTTTGGGTCAATGGAGGCAAATTGAAAAGGTTGTTTAAAAAATTGTTTTGGGTCAAATAAAACATTTTGTTTGACCTGAAATTAAATGTTTCATTTTGGTTTCATGTTTTTTAAGCTTTTTTAAAAAATAAAATTGAAGTCAAATACTAAACAAAAATTGAAACGGTTCATTTAAAAAATGTCAAAACAAAATGTTGTGACTTTGAGGGGCTTTTCTTTTGGTTGGTTGGAGGGTTTGATTTTCTTTCAGCTGAAACCATCTGGTGAAGTCAACACAAATTTGCTCAATGTTTCAGCCAACCCATATCTGCAATTTTCTACAAAAAAAATGTTTGTCCAAAAATTTTTGCCCAGCTCCAGTGTCGAGGAAACAGCAGCACAGGAAGCCCTGTCAGGCAGCAGGCACTTCAGAGGAGAAGGCTTTCACACCAGCACTGACAAGGTTCTGTGAAAGGACAGAGGGGAGGCCATTGCTGGATCACCGGAGGGACTGAGGGGCTGAATAGAGACAGACAAGGTCAGTGAGATAGGCTGGAGCAGAACAATGGAGGTTTTTCAAAACTAGGACATTATTGTATTGGAACCTGAAATAACAGTGGAGCCAGTAGGTCCTATTTCTTTGTGTATCTTACAAAGTGAGCAGTGTGAGGAGGAGCTACAGATACGTGCTGGAGTCTAGGATACCTATTGGAGTCAGGAGAGCACATAGAGAAAAGAGCTGCCATAGTTAAGGTTGGTTAGAGCAGATGATGGCAGGAATGAGAGTTCCACAAAGAGAGAGAGTCAAGCAAGTGTCAGTCATGGAAGAGTGTGTGAAAATAGGAACATAAGAACGGCCGTACTGGGTCAGACCAAAGGTCCAT